TGAACCCATTACAAAGAGGCGTTTGTCCCAATGTACCCCCAAAACAGTGGGCCAGTGACCTCCAAGTGCCAGAGCCAGTGATGACTCCTTCACCCTCCTTTCACTCAGCCTCTTGGAAGGATCTGACACACCTGCTTCTCCCACTTGTGTCGGGAGCTCCTGGTTTTACTCCCACCTCACTGACTGCTCTCCCTCTCCCTTCTGCTGGGTTCTCCTCTCCTTTTGCCCTTAAACACTGGCCTGTCCCGGCGCTCATCCTCGGACCTCTCTCTACTCTTGTTCCCTAGTTGGTCTCAACCAGTTTAATGGCCTTACGCACCCACTGTACTCAATAATTCCCCAATGTATCTATTTCTGATTCTCTCCTGAATTTTGGATTTACATATCTAACTGCTCCCTTGACACTTCGCTAGTTAGATATCCAGAGGCACCTCACTCTTAATGTGTCTAAGACAAAAGTCTTGACTCACGTTCCTTCCGCTCTGCCTAGCCTGTTCCTCCTTCGGCCCTCTGTCTCGGCAATGGCATGGCCACCTACTCAAAAGCTCAGGCTAGTGACTTGGAATTCATTCTAGGAAACTGGCACCCTCACCCCACCATGAAATCCCATTAGACTCTACCTTCCAGATACAACCAGAAACCACTGCTTTAACCACCCTGCCTGAGCCACCAGCATCATGTGCATGGATCACTGCAATAGCTTCTCTACTGATTCTCTATCTGTCTTTATTCACCATAATCTTTTTCCATCGAAAGCCAGGATGAGTCTTAAAATATAAATCAGAGCATGGATTTTGTTGCTCAGAACTCTAGTGACTTCCCATCACATGCAGGATCGAAGTCCAAAGTCTTTACTACGGGCTATGGGATTCCACCTGAGCTGGCGCTTGTCTGCACCTCCACCTTGTCTCTAATTGCTCTCCCTCTCATGACCCTCCAGCCTCTCTGGCTTTCTTGCTGTCCCTCAAACATACAGGGTGTCCTCTGGCCTCCTGCCCCTTGCACTTACTTTTCCCTCTGCGTAGAATGCTCTTTCCCCCAGACATCTGCATAGCTGGCTTCCGCTAACAAACCTCTTGGATGTGACCTCTCAGACAGGCCTTTTCTGATGACCGGTGACTGATTGTCCTGGACTTTGTCCCGATTTGTCTGGGACTTAGAGGCTTCCAAGATGGGAGACTTTCAGTGAGAAAACCAGTATAGTCCTGGGCGAAGCAGGACGATTTGTCACTCTACAAAATCAATCCTGCTCATTCCCCATCCACTTTTTCTGCTTTATGTTTTGTTTCATAACCCTAATCACTCGCTGACATCTTCTTGGGCAACTCTGTTTATTTTCTGTTCCAAATGAGAACAGCCCCATGAAGGCACAGACTTCTCTTGTTCACTGTGGAATGCCCAGCATCTAGAACTGGGCCTGGAATATAGTTGGTGCTCAGTACATATCTAATGAATCGAGAAACGAATTTTTAAGGTAAATTATAGGTCATATGTAAAATGAAAATTACCCAACAGACAGAAACAATAAATGGCACATATATAGAGGAACATATGTGTGCTACAGTGTCAATCAAAAAAAGTAGGTTTCAAAATGGTAGGTGTACCAGGGATACCATCTTCGTAAAGAAAAAAAAAAAGACGTGCATGCATATGTTCATTTGCGTACAGCCACAGAAAAAAGGCTGGAGGGCTCACCCAAAGTGACATTGGATTAGGTTATTTTAATCTTTGTACCACTGTGTAAAGTTTCTTGGGGTGTTGCCGTTCACATAATACTTAGGTATTAAGTCCTGGTGGGAACTTTGACGCGCCCATTGCCCACCATCACCCTCTCCCAGCACCTGGCCTGTGATCCCCACACCTGACCAGCTCTCTGCTCCTAAAGCTTCTTGCCCTCTTCTCTGTGCCTGCTTCTCTTCTCGAATTTGTCTTCACTCTACTATAATGGAATCATTTACACGCCTGCCCGCCCAGTGCATGCCCATGACATTCCAATGACAGTGTATACTAAGTGACAGCTTGATCTGATTTTGTTCCCACGACGCCATGGCTTAGGAACGATCATCATCCTTGTTTGAAGGAGGAGGACACCGAAGCTTGGAGAGGCGAAGTGACTTGATCAAGCCACATAGCTAGTAAATGACATAACTGTGATTTAAGCCCAGGTAATCTGACTCCAAAGCCCATGCATGGCCTGACTCTCTGGCACTCTCTTGTTTTCAACCAAAGCCGGCCACCCAAGGAAAAGAGGAGTTGAGAAAAGAAAGGCATGAAGTTAGTGGGAAGGAAGTGAGGATATAAACTGGTTAGTTAGGAAGGAAGAAAATTAGGCAGGTGAGAAGGCAGAGAGTTGAAAGGGAAGAAAGGAAAGGAGGGGGAGAGAGGGGAGAAGAAGTTAGGAAGAAAGGAAATTAGGAAAGAAGCAAGCAAGGAAGGGAGAGAGAGAAGAGCTAGGAAGAAAAAAGGGAACAAGGAAGGAGGGTTTTAGGAAGGAAAGGAAGTAAAGGGGTAGGTAGGAAGGAAGTTAGCTGAAATAGCTAGTCAGTCAATTTGGTAGACCAACAGGCTGGCAGTCAGGTGTCCCTCTCACAGCTGAGTCTCTCACCTGAAAACTCTGGGTCCCAGCTCAGGTCCTGGGGAGCAGCCCCAAGCACGGCTCTGCCCTCCTGTCTCTCGGCATGGTCCCCCCAATCCTGAACAGCCGGAACAAACTTTCCAGTCAAGAGCGACCTGTCACCCACTTGCTCAGGCTCCCAAACCAGCTCAAGTTCAACTTCCCAGCCCTGCCAGCTGAGAGCTGGCTGCAGGGCCTTCCAGTTACTAATTAACCGCTGGACCTGAATCACGATGCTGGCTGCACCCACTGGCTCCTTGATGGGGCCTGCCCTGTGGACCCTTTGAACTTTTAAAAGCTACTGCACAACTTAAGTCGTATGACCTTGGGCAAGTGACTTCAGCTCCCTGAGCCTCACGTGAATTGGTAGTGCACGTCCTGCCTCACAGGGCGGGGTTCTGAAGTCCCTTTCAACATCATCACATTTCTATTCTCTGAAATCTCACCCTCACCCTCCCGGGTCCAGCTCAGATGCTGACTTTCCTACCTGGCCTTCCCTGATCCCATTGGCTGAATCACTTCCCTTCTATCTTAGAGCCTGGAGAACAGACCATCCGAAGGGCTTGTCTCACACGTCTCCCCTCTGCCTCATCCCCGATAGGACCACCAGGCCTTTCACGGACACCTCCAGGGAGGGGCAGCTCATGCCTTCCTGCGCCAGCCTCATGTACTCTCTTGTGTTGAGCCAAAGCAGGCCACCCAGAGCTCTCCTGGAACTGCCCGGCACCCTCCTGGGAAGAGAACCACGGCTGAGCTGAGACCCATGAGACCCATGCCCCACCCTGCCCTCGGAGACCTGAGGCTCAGGAACCAGGGCATAGCTCTCCCCAGCTTGATGGAAGAAGACTTGCTCTGGTTGATCTAAAGCTGTCCAGACTAAGGGTTCTAACTCAGGGCGAGGTCAGGGCCTGGACTGCTGGACAGCTGAGGAAAGCCACCCCACCCCACAGTGACCTCTCCTTCATAGTTGACTCAGAGTCTGACGCCAAGCTGCTTCCTCCATTGCCGCTTCATTAAAATGTAAACAATTAACCGATTTACAAATTCCAGTCATTCTAGTGCTTTAAAAACTGGCTGCTCTACTGTGCCCTGGAGGAGCCCTGCACGCCCCACTCCCGCCCTCCACCAATACAGCAATCCGCATGGGACTGCCCTGCCACCCCTACCCTGCCCCAAGAGGGATGGCGGCTGGCCAAAGGGCAGCAAGCAAATCAGGTTAGAACCCTGGGTCCTGCCCCTTTCCAAAGCTGTCACTGTCTCCGCCCCACCAAGCTCCTCCTGTCCTGTTCTCTCAAAACTGGTTTAAAAAAACAAAACGAAACAAAAAAACAACCCACATAATGGTATTGCATAAATTGTATTAAAGAATAACAGGGTATGGAAGAACAGAACATGAAATAAAAAGTGGAAGCTTCTCCTCCAACTCATCTTCAATTTCATTTCCAGAGGCAACTGCTGTTAACTAGATGGTGACTGTCCTTCCAGACTTTGTGCATGTCCTAATCTACATATTTCATACACCTTTTCCCCCCCAGACAATAAGCCATACACTACATACTGTTCAGCCGCTCACGTTTTTCTCACAGACATCTTTCCATGTCAACACATAGAGACTTAACCTTTTTTTTAAAACACATCTGCATCGCATTGTACAATGTGGGATTAATTTCTCTGTTCCTTATTCACTGTGTCTTTGTTGGTCAACATTTAGGCTGCTATCATGTTCACAGTCATTCTAACAAGGCTGCAGAGAACATCTTTGTGTTAACGCCCTGAGGCCTGCTCCTAGTGTTTCTCTCCCATAAATTGCAGGTAGGAGTGCTGGGTTAATGGTGACCTCTCTACCAAATTACTATAAAAAGTTACACCAATTGGCTCGGCCATCAGCAGTGCTTACACTTTCCCTCCCGCCCTTCCCCTCAATGACAGAAAACCTCCAAGGCCACAGATATGCATCTCTTCCCCACCTTCTCCTTCTTTCTTTCCCCTCCCACCCTCCTTGTTTTCTCCTTCTTTTTCTGCTGGCCAATTCTGTTGAGTGTGAAGGTCAAAGATGTGTCCTTGAGGTTGAGAAGGGAAACAAGAGACTGAACCAAGGAGAATATTCACCTCTATGAATATTCCCTCCGCCTTGACATTTCTCAGCCCACATTGCTGTGCTTTGTCTGGCTCCCGCCCCTCCTCACACCACTCCCAAGACCTGCACGCACCTCTCACACCTGCAGATTCATCCACAGGTAGAGGAAATGACAGGCATGGACAGAGTCAGTACCAACAGATCTCTTACCCACATGGAGCCAACAGAGTTCACACATAGGACAGAGATGGGGCCCCCAATTTTTCTTTTTTGAAATAAAGATTTTTTTTTAAAGTAATAAAGGTACAAAATTTTAAAAATAGAACTATGAGGTGGATAATGAAAAAGATCAGTTCCTTGTCACACTCTTTACTTTTTTTTAGCTGCTTGTTTTGGCCTTTACCTCCATGTGTCTCAATAGCATGATTAGACTGCTATTTCAGTTTTAAAAATTATCAAGTGGCTTCCTTCCTACTGCAAACATAAATCTTTTAGATCTCACCCATCCAAACACACACATTTGCTTTTCCTAAAGTTAATTAACAAATGCCTCATTTGATGGTTTGAAATATTGAATATATATACATATGCATGTACATAAACAATTCCTAAACTCTCTGCGAGAGCTGAAAATATCTTTTTATTATAATAACATATTAGTTTCAGTTTGGGGTTTGTTTTCGTCCTTCTCTTCTCACTTGGAAAGTTGCTCAGTTGTCAGCCTGGTCCTTCCTTCTCATCACTCTGGAAATTCCTTTTGTCTCTCTCCTGGTTGGATACCCTATTTCCTAGATCCTATGTTTTCTTCTTTTTAAGAAAAAAATTTTTTTTCTTAATTATAGTTAAATCTATAGAACATAAAATTTGCCATCTGAACTATTTCAAGTGGACAATTCAGTGGCATCAAGTACATTTACAACGTTGTGCAACCATCATCATTATCTATTTCTAAAACCTTGGCATCACCCCAAAGAGGAATTCTGTAG